ACAATTCGAAGCTTCAGGTCTGCAACCTAGAAGCACGCTCGAGCGAAGAAACCCAAAACATACAGCTCGCTCGCTCGAGTGAAGGAAAGCTCGCTCGAGCTAAGAAATGCAACCTTCAGGTCCAAACTAGACGCAGATGTAAGCTCGAGGGCAAGACTTCTCGCTCGAGCTAACAGACACATGTAGACACCCCATTTTTGACCAACCTTAAGACTCATACGTCACCAATTGAGCGCTCGGTGATATTGCATATTGTGCTCGTTCAGAAGTTTCAGAGTCTCGGCTGCAAGCCTTGCCTCCGGACTTCCAGACTCTTTCGCGCCTTGTCTCGGTTTGCGAACCAGGCTCTGTTTTCTCTGTTTTCTCTTCCCGAAGGGAGGGAGAGGTCTCGTAGATCATCTCTCAATGGCCGTAGGCTACGTTTCGTGGTCGTAGGCCATTTTTTCCCGTTTGGAGCCCGGTTTCCGATTTTTCGGAGCCGACGGCCGTGTGCCTCGGTTCGGGACCGCCTAACCACCTCCGTTTGCTCCATTTTTTGGTATGCACCTTATTTCCTCCCTTTTGAGGACCACTGTGGCCCGAGAGACCAACTTCGTGGTCGAATGCCACCTCCGGTGCTTAAACGGCCCATTTTCGAGGCCCCGGGCCGCGCATTTCGGTCCCCAAACCTCCGTTTTGCATCCATTTTGGTTCATTTTTGGTGGAGACCTTATTTTCATTGTTAGAAAGCTTGTAGGAGGGTGGGAGGCCAGCAATTTTTCTGAAAAGCCAGTTTTATTTCTTTATCGCTCTTCGTCGCCCGTTTTCCTCACTAGAAAGCTAATGTTGACCACTCCCAGGCCACTTTCCTTAGCCCTAAACCCCATATTTGTGTTGTACACACCTGGGAGGCCACCAATATTGATAGGCCGGCCAGTAATTGTACTTGACCCTTTTGAACCCCTCTAAAAAGCTAGCTTTTCTCTCTCCTAGGTCACTGTTTCTGGTTTTTCTCTACGGGGTTGTGTTGTGCTCATCTGGGAGGCCACCTTTCTGGGTAGGCCGACCAGAAATTGTGATTGACCCTTTTGACCCTTGGTCGGCCGACCAGGGGAGGTGGCCGGCCGGCCCCCTGGACCTTCTGAACCTGGTCGGCCAGAATCCTCTCACCTGGTTCCTTTCAGCTGTGTATTTTGTTTCCCCCCAGACCCTGTATCCGGGGGGGTGCCCTTTTGGGGGAAAATTTGAATTTGATTTCCCCCCTTTTCCTCCACTCCTCCCTCTATAAAACCAGACCCCCCAGCTCCTATTTTGAGGGTTACAAAATTTGGTATTGAGCTCTTGCATTCATCATCCCTCTCCCTCTCTTCCAAGCCTCAAAACACCTTTGTTCTTGGACCATTTCTACACCACCTCATAGCACCACACCTCCATACTCCATTCCAGCAACTTGGAGGTCATTTCCAGAGATTAGGAGCACCATTTCTTCAACCAAAAGTTGCTGGTCCATTGGTCTTCAAGGGTGAGTCCTCTTTCTCCATTTTCTAGTCTTTCTTGCTCTATATCTAAGCCTTTCTTGCAAGCATTTTTGGGCTCCGACCCAAACTGTAAATAGTCATATTTTGAGCCCCTTTTCATATTTGATCAAGGACCTCTTACTGTTTGAGGTCTCCTACTACCACTTGCCTCTTTATCTCTCTTTTAGGTCAATTTTTGCATTGTATTTTAAGCCTATTTTTGAGTTGTTTTGGACTTTTCCATAAACTGTAAAATAACTTTTTTTGAGCCCCTCTTCAACATTGTTGAAGGGCCCTCCTCTGTTTGAGGTCTCCTACTATCACTTGCCTCTTTATCTCTCTTTTAGGCCAATTTTTGCATAGTATTTTAGGCTTATTTTTGAGCTGTTTTGGGCTTTTCCATAAACTATGAAATATCTTGTTTTGAGCCTCTATTCAACTTTGTTGAAGGGCTCTCCTCTATTTGAGAACAGCAGCTACCACTTGCTTCTTTACCCCTCTTTTAGGCCTTTTCTTGCATGATAGTTTGGCCTTATTTGTGATTATTTTCGTGGCTTGATGTAAACTGTAAAGTGACTTTTTTTGAGCCCCTAATCAACTTTGTTGAAGGACTCTTTGCCATTTGGGGCCAGCTGCTGTCCCTTGTGTTTAATCTCTCTTTTAGGGCCATTTTTGTATGATAGATTAGCCCTATGTGTTCATTTTTTAGACTTGTTATAAACTAGAAATATGCATATTTTGGGACTGTCTTGCCTCTTTCTTCATGCTTCATGATCAAATAATGCATGCTTTGTATAGCTGTAAGTCATTCCATGTGCCTAGTTTCGAGTTTCGGGGTTCATTCCATGCATCGGGTGCCATGTTTTCATGTTTCGGGGCTGTTTTGTATCATATTTCAGTGCTGAAACTTGCATGTTTGCATACCATGTTCCATGCCCTGCCATGCCTTGTTAGAGTGGCATTTGTGCCTTAGGATCGGTCCTCGGTTTGCGTGCATGTGTGCACGCATCTCGAGTGTCTCATTTTTCATCTTATGGCCACTAATGTGAGTGTGGCTGAGGTCCATTCATGTTGGTGTAAGTCCATTATGCATTGTGTATGCCATTTCAATTCATAGCATTGTGTATGCTAGGTTGTATGTTAGAGCATCGTGTATGCCATGTTACACCGTGCATTGTGTATGCCATTTCATAGTATTATGTATGCTAGGTTGCATGTTAGGATTGCATTCATGCATGTCATGCATATTGCATTGTGTTTAGGATAGGAGTTAGGCCAAGCACGGGAAACGAGATACGTTTCGTACTCCGAGTGACGGAACGTGTCTCAATTCCTGGTCACCGACGCTCCGGATTATCCATGATGGAGTCTAGGCCTTGTCGTGTCCATATGTGCATTCATTTCATATTGAGTCGCGCAAATCAACTCCTCGGCCATCATGCATCGAGATGCGTGGTTGGTGGCATGAGGATCGAGGACTACACTCTCTGAAGAGTAGTCATGCATACATATGTGAAAATACTTTGCCATGCCCCTTTGTTGCTCTCTGTTGTAGCAAATCAAGAATCAGCAACCTTCCGGAGCTTGGCACGCGTCCCAAGAACAATTGCAAACAGAAGCAAACGGGGGCATCGCAAGGGATTTCCCGACAAAGGCAACCCGAGCATGCATTATTCATCACCCAGAGCAGAATCGAGGCAATCCCTAGCTTGCATGCTAATTTACTGTTTTTCTAGTTTAATTTGTTAATTAATTAGGATTTTGTAATTATTTGGACTGTAATTATTTATTCGGGACTGTATTATTCTTTCGGACCCTCCGCGCGAGGGCAATATTATAATAAGTGTGCGTGTGTGTGATGTATGTCTTCCAACCCCACGTCTTTCTCCCTTTTATTTACCAGCTTATGATGGTTAGATTAGGGCATGTTTCAATTAGCATACAGTATGATAGCATGTTTGCATTCATCATCATCTGTTTGCATGCACCGGGCTCGGCGCATCATACTAACTGCATTGTATTTTCAATTCCAAGTTGAATACATGTTAGCTGTAGCATTTCATATGCCATGTTTAGAATAGCCGAGCCGCTATAGTTGCTTTTTGCATGTGTTGCATTAGGCATTTATGTATAGTTAGGATCATACATGATTTCTAACATAGCTTCTGTTTTGGCTTGGAGTACTCGGTAAGTTTTACGCTTTAGCATCCTTGCATGCGTGTGAGTGACTGCCATGATAGCATGCTTACTATGAGGCTATATGCTTATGTGATATACCTGCGTGAATGCCTGTGGGTGAAGGTTGGGTTATTTGGATTGGAACAAATCATCAACTGTGAGTTTTAAGCCCACTAGATAGTGGCAAAACCATGTTTTCTAAGCCCACCCGAGGGTGGCAAATCCACGTCTTAGCCTACTTGCGGGTAGCACCATCAAACAAACATGAAATGTTTTGTTTCAATTCAGACGACCCAGTCTATACTTGTATGCTGTGCGCTTCACATAGTAAATCTAGGCTAATAACCAGAATAAGAACGCATAATGTTTTCAAAACTAGATATCATGGTTAGTAGAGACCGATCTTTGGTCGGGCGAGCGGGGGTGCTCACGAAGTGACCTTCCCCAATCGTACCCAAGTTCCCGAGCCGAGACAACTTTGGTGATGACGGACACGTGGCCTTAGGCAACGAGTCAGGGTTTCCTAAATTTCCCCAAAATAAAACATTTAGGTGGCGACTCTGTATCTGGCAAAGCAGTCCATGTTTGGCACTTCTTTCAAAAAAATCTATTTTTAAAAAACGATTTGCTGGATTTGGACTCTTTGGTTTAAGATTTAGAACCGTGACAATTTGAGTCCGAACTGTAGTGAGCCCAAGAACGAACGGAACGGGACTCATTCCTCCCGGGGCGTTCGGGGACGTCTACAACACACTACTCAACTCTCGCTCGAGCGAAGGAACCTTGGCTCAAGCGAAGGAACTAAAACACAGAGCTCACTCGAGCGACAAAAGCCTCGCTCGAGCGAAGACACCAAAATCTGGACAGCAACCATTTGTTTCAAAACACACCTAACCTGTTACAAACCTGCCCAACACGTTCTAAAACTCAAATACATAGAATTGAAGGATGGAAAATAAACATATACAACACCAGACATCTACGGAACCGAGTCCGGAATACAACAGCCAATGGACGAAAAATCGGGATCGTTATAAAGGAGGACTCCCAAGACTCTCATGAATGTATTGACTATTGACGTTTTTTAATTTTTTATTTTTATCTCTAATAGTGACATAAATAGTTTAAATCATTTTAAAAGTGATGAGAATTATGTTTTGTGAGAATCTCTGTGGTTGCTGTTGGTTAGGTAAGCTTTGTTTGAAATATAAGTTGACCTTTTAATTTGGTTTAGATTAAACTGTTTGACTTGTTCTTTTTACATAAAAAAATTTATAATCTAAATATAGCATTATATTTTATTAATTTTAAGTGGCGGTAACTATTTTAACCTTCAGGCGAAGGCCAAACGAATGTGAAATAGTGGAGCGAGGCTCATGCTCCAATACCCCTCCCCAAACCTCCCATCAAACATGACCTTAGGCTATTCCTTCCACCGGAGCACCGTCTTCGAGTTATTCGCCGTTGAATTCGATATCTCTGAATCCATTCATTCATTCATTTTTCCACATCCCTAATCGCAACCACGTTGGATTGGAGATCGAGACAAGCCGATTTGTGCTTTTCTTCGAGTTCTCATACCTACCCCCATTGATTGAGATATTCTTCGCAGAATGTGAGTTTCAATTTTCCCATCTTTCACTCTCTCTAAAATTATTACAACTGTTTGGTTTTGTGTTGTTCACAGCGAATGTGAGTTTCGATTTCCCATTCTATCCAAAACCCCTTCGTTTTATTTTACAACCTGACTTGGGGAAACCCTAGAGGGTAAGAACAAGTTCGACAAAGCCCCGGTAAATTTTCTATTCAATATCTTCAATTATTTGATTTGTACTCTTCGATTTTCCTACTTATTGGTTTCTTACTGTTCGTCGTATAATATTTACTAGAACTAGAATTGTGTGTGCAATAATATGTTGAATTGAAAATTGGGTGTATAGTATATATATGCTTTGTCTAAGTCTTGAAAGAAACCACTAGTACACTTTACCATGGTTAGAATAGAAAAGTAAAGTGGGAGGAAGATCATTAAATAATAAAATGAATATGAGGCTATTTTTGACATTTGATTCAATTTTTGACTTTGACTTAGAACTTTTGCATTGCCCACCCTCAATTTGGGAGAGTGTGGCACACATTCCATTATGTTTAACATAAAAACTAACCATAGCACTTTAGTCCAAAACCATATGAGAGTTTTCTGGCTATATTTGAACCATAGGGGAGTAAAGTGCTCTGAGGCCAAACCACAAGACGGTGAAGTGAATTTTGCCCTTATTCTTATAAATTTTTTTTTCGAGATCGCAATATATATAGCCTATATATATAACATATACAAATTAATATAGTTTACAGATACATACTATATATACAAATATAGGTTTTATAAACTTATTGGATATATGTTTTATAGGAAATTCTATAATTACAAATTTATATAGAATATATACAACTTTAGGTTTTATATATACTGTATATATATATATATATATATTTCCTTAAAAGACAACAATTTAGGTTATGAATGTAATTTATTATTATAGAATTATTATTCACAAGGAAAATTATTTTCATTTTTTTAAATTTCTGAATCTTTAGGTTTCATAAACATAACATGGATTTGAATGTACATATTGGGTTTGAATATATTTCAAATTTTGGATTTCTGAATTTTCAAAATTATTACACAAATCTAGGTTTTATATACATTTTTTTTTTTTGGATTTATGAAAATTTGTATATAATTATTTGATTGTGGTGTTCATATGCAGTGTGCTTGTCTTGCTTTTGCAACTCAATTTGGTTGCCTTCATGATTGAGTCGATTGTGTTATGATTGTTGCAAATATTTGGTGGATTAGGTAGTGATGCAAGGTGTTGGTGAAAAAGAGTTGTGGGGAGGCTAGTGTGTGGAGATCGTATTAGAGCATCTTCAGTGGGATAGCTAAATTTGTGTGTTAAAGTATGTATGTGTTGTATGACACAAAGTGATAAAAGTAAGATTCATTTGTGTTTATTTAGTGTTTGTCATTTCAAGAGTAATGGTGTATTCCAATTGTGTAGTTAGGTGTGTTAAAGTGTGTTATGTATGAGTGAGACTCACCAAAATATATAAATATATATTTATATTTTATAGTTATAAATATAAATTGAAAAAAAAGGTAGTAAACTGAGAATCTCCCTGACACCAAAGTTTACTCTCTCTCTGTAACAACCTTCCCCTCTCTCTTCCCTTTTCCTTCAGTTTCCTTTGCTATTGTGCTCGCTGCAGCAAAGCTAGCAAACTTGCTAACTAACAAGCACCTTGGCAAATCCATTGGAGCATATTTCTCATTTGTTTGTTAGCTAACTGTGGCTAACTGACTCTAACAATGCATTTAGTGTCGGAAAGCTACTGAATTTTCTGACTTAACTAACAAACGATTTTAATTTTGGCTCCAATGGTTTTGCTAAGTTATTTGTTAGCTAGTATTGTTGCTAGCAATGAAGTTAACTGTGGCAAGCACAGTAACTAGAGAGAGAACTGTGACGAGCACAGTAACTAGAGAGAGAGAGAGAGAGAGAGAGCAAACATGTATTGCTGTACTTGCTGCATTTTTTAGAGAGACGGTGGTTGGCAACCTGGCAGGCCATGTCCTGCCTTTCTTTTTTATTTATTTATTTATCAGTCATACTATATGACACATAATTTTTAAAATAATTATAATAATTTTATTATGTATATATAGTTATATCTTTGAATGGACCCCACGCATACATAACACACTTTAACATACACCTTAACTACATCATTGGAGGACACACCCACCGTTAAACTAACACACATAAATGAGTCGCACTTTTCACACTTTTTGTCATATAACACACTTTAACAAACAACTTTAACAACACCATTGGAGATGCTCTCACGGATGTATTCAGTGTACTGTTTTTGAATTTATCGCTATTATGAATATCTTATAATTTTTCACCCAAACTTTAATCCAGTTGCAGACTGAAAATCAGCAAACTACAGAAAAAAATGTTGATGAATGAAAATATCAACCTCATAACATAGAAAAACAAAAGAAGAGACATATAATATTCAGATCTCACGTTTAAGTAATTATTGATTTGCTTCAAAACATTTAGCACGTTAACGCACCAAAAACTTTATTTATTACATCAAATAATTGGATTGTTTAAAAGGCTAAACCTAATTAGTATGGTAATATACCACTCTTTGTATAACCACCAGTAGATACACTGTTTCTTTACATGTATGGTGCAAGCAAGTTATTTAATGTTCATAAAAGTAACAACACAAATGACAAAATCAAACAAAAACACCTAAATTAGGAAGGAGGTCCACTTGAAAGAGGTAAGTATCATTGTAGAAGATGAGACATTTTTCAGTTATTGAAAGAAAATATCAACTATGCCAACAGATGATAAGAAGGTTAAATGGTTTCAATAGTATAAAAGCTTTACCATATGTTGGGATCGCTCATCTTGTATGGAGACTGTAATCCCAGATGGAATATGAGTTATCCTAACAGCGCTGTTAGTAGTATTTGCATGCTGACCACCTGAACCACCAGATCTATATGTATCGATTCTTAAATCTTCATGCCTCAACTGGACATCTACCTGTAAAAGTCTTGAAATGTGATCAAATAGCTCCTCTGATTAAAACTCTTAACCTTAAAGATCAATTATATGGAGCAATGACACTATCTAAAAAATATGAACAGACACCTCATCAGCCTGAGGAAGGATTGCAACAGACACAGCACTGGTGTGAACACGTCCAGATTTTTCTGTCACAGGAACTCGCTGCAGAAAAAAAAATAAAAAACCCATGTAATGCCTCGTAACAGTAAATTAAATATAAGATATGGGGTAATGGGACCTAAATATAAGATATGGGGTAATGGAACCTGCACTCTGTGAATTCCACTCTCAAATTTAAGTTTCCCATAAACATCAGCTCCTGAAATTGCTGCACTAGCTTCCTGGCATGGAGAAGTACATGTTAGGAAGCTTGATGGACAACCAAAATAGGAATTATTTGTAATAACTGGCACTTACAGACACAAAACCATCTACATGACAAACATTTTTGTATCAACTACTACGAAGTACTGAGAAGTTCTGCCTCACACACAATTAAGTAGATGAATTCTATGAAAGTTCATTTTGACTGTTAGTAACACATAGAATACATACCTTGTATCCTTTAAGATCAGACTCTGTTATTTCTACCACGTCAAACTTCCATCTCTTCTTCGTTGAGTATCTCTCATACCTGATGAAATTTAAACAAGATCAAATTTAAAATGAGAACTTGATAAGCATTATTAAATTTAAAGAACAATCTATAGCAACTTACATTTTGAATATGTCCATTGCAAACAAAGAAGCCTCATCCCCTCCAGTTCCTGATACAAGTTTAAGAAATTATATTTATAATTCAGTCACTGCCTGAAAAAATAAACAAACAAACAAACTTGATGCATATTAGCATTAAAAGAGTGGGTATCAATGAAATGTGCACTCAGATAATTTACCTGCTCTGACCTCCAAAATACAGTCCCGTTCGTCAGCATCATCCTTGGGAAGTAATGACTTCAGCAGTTGATTCTGCAGTCTTCTCACTTCTTCCATGGCCAGACACAATTCCTCAGATGCCATGTTCAGCATTTCTTTGTCTTCTGGACTTTCATCCATTAGTGACTTCAAACCCTCAATCTCCTAGAGAAAAAAAAATATATATATATTAATTTCGAGCCTCAAACAATGTCCTGAACAGCAGAAATGATATTAGCAAGAATAACTAGAGGCAAGAAGGTAAATATAACATCCAGCTACGTCAGATGCAATAAAATAAACCAACTCTTGATGTCTTTGGGGGACGGCACAATAACTCAACTCTAGCTATAACCACGGCTGAACAAAATAGGATTTGGAGATGCTTGAATGTATTAACTACTACAAATGTAAAAAGAATCAATCAAGCAAATAATTCATCTATTATATGGGACAGATTTATGTAGTGGCCTGGTGATTCCTGGTAATTTCAGGATTCTATGGAAATACTGCATTAGGTTCTAAAAAACATAAAAAGAGTGCTAGAGAAAAATCCAAGAGAATTGAGAGAGTTATTGTGACTTTGAAACCAAGAGATGAGTTTAGAAGGGGAGATAAGACTCACATTTATGTAATAATTGGCACAGGTGAAAAAAAGAGTCATAAATGGAATTTGATAGACAGATTGCCTCTCCTCTCTCTCTCTCTCTATATATATATGGTAATGATAATGCTATTTACAGTTCCCTTCAATTGAATCTCAAGCAGGAAGGACAAACATGATACAGGATTCTATAAGTTTCCAGAAAGCAAAATGAACACCATGGAGTTCAAAGGTCTTTCTTAATTTCCTAGATGTTGAAAAAAAATACAAGCAATAATATTAGGACTGCTCTTAAAAAAAACAGAAGCTCAGATTTAGTTTGAACATATAATTCACAATATCTATGCCCTAGGGAGCAACCAGCAGCTTAGGCCACATTCTGCCAGTAAAGAGGCTTATCAAAAATATATAAATCAGTATCTCGATTAAAATTTCATATCTTAATGCCTTAAAAGAAGTAATAGATATATGCATACAACAAAAGGTGGGAGGTGGCAATGAGGGAATGCAATCTTAACTATGACCAGAAAACTGAAGGTATGAGAGTGGTCACACCTATGAAGCATGGGTAATTTGAAAAACATGCCGTACCCGTACCGGGTACTTACCGGCATACTGTACCTCGTATGGTACTTCTGCATACGTACCAAGTACACAAAACACGTACCCAAGTTTTTTCTTCTTAATTTTTGACATATATAGCCGTACCTAATATATATCCAAGCCGTATCGTACCTCAGTTGAAATAATATTTTCCTTCTACTATAGAGATAAAACTCATTTCACTAGATTTCGTTTTTAGTTTTTATGCTTAGCATGATTTTAAAATTAAACTATGGTTTGTAAGTTATTTAATATATTGACATTTAATTTTGATTTATACTTTTCCTTTTGGCATTAAATGTTAATTATAGGTTGGACCTTAACAAATTAAACCATTTAATTAATTTTTGCATTACTCTAAATTAAAAATAAATATTTTTTTACAAGTATATCAAGTCGTACCCGTACCCTATTTTTTTAAAAGTTTATCGTATCAACGTACTTGTATCGTACCAGTACCAATACCAGTACTCATACCCGTACCCGTGCCTCACAGATCTCAGGGCTTAAGGTTAATTTCAAGATAAGTAGTGTGGTGGGCATTAATATGCAGCAAGACCAACTTCACAGTAGGGCGGCACTTTTGGGATGTGGTATTGAGTCACTTCCATTCAAATATTTGGATCTTCCATTGGAGGCTAATCCTAGAAGTGAAGCTTTTGGAATCCAATCGTGGAAAAGATTGGTAAGAGGTTGGAAGGGTGGAGTAAGACTTTATTGTCGCGCGAGGGTAGATACACTTTGGTTAAGACTGTTTTGAGTGGTATTCCCATTTATTTCTTATCTTTGTTCAAGATTCCGATTAAGGTGATAAGGTCACTAAAAAAGTTGATGAGTGATTTTCTTTGGGAGGGCAAGGATGAAGAGAAGAAGGATCACCTAGTGAATTGGGATTTAGTTTCATTACCTAAGGCGAAGGGGGGTTTGGCTATTGATAACATTGTGGCTAGGAACATGGCCCTTCTTAGCAAATGGCTATGGAGATTTTCACTTGAGAGTGATTCACTTTGGCATTCGGCTATTAGAAGTATGGGATTCAAGACAAAGGTAGGGATTCACAAGTGGTTCTAAGGGGTAACTATCGTGCTCCTTGGAAATCAATTTCGCAAATCTACATATGTTGGTCTCGTTTTCTTTCTGTAAGGGTGGGCAATGGGGAACTTATTTTTTTGGGGAGGATGTTTAGATGGGTCAATCTTCTTGTACTTCCAATTTTAACATCTTTATAGAGTGGTTCGATCTCATAATTCTTCTATTGCTTCCACAGATGGGTGTGTGAATCCACCGTAGTAGGGCAGAATGCTACAAATAATGAATCCCCAACCACCTGAAGAAAACTTAAACTTAACTAGAACTAACTTGAGACTGTCGAACCTAAAAAATATCCAACCTCTCCAACTTAAAAAAAGAAGAAGACAGCTTAAACTATCAAACCAACACATGAAGTCATACTAAATAAATTAATGTCAATCTTTCCAACTTCAGGACAAGCATATTGATCCCAAGAAATTAAACAGTAAATATATATCCATATACACACATATAGCTAACAGAAAGAAGAAACAAGAAAAGAAACTAAAAATGATACAAGAACCTTGTTCAATTTTTCTAGAGTAGATACTTGGTTTTCCTTGTATCAATGGCCATCATCCAGGTGTTTCAGATTTAACAGATTTTAGCAATAAATCTAACAAATTTAAAAACAATATTAAAGTTCTCACCGTTTCTAATCGAAGGACAAGCACATCCTTCTTCTGACCAATCCTATGAGCCCTTGCCTGTGCTTGAAGATCAACCTGATAGGACACCACAGAAAATATATACATATATTTAGAATCAATAAGTTATAGTTTGAATGTAATTGATAATTACACAGTCTATTGTATATAACCTGTGGATTCCAATCTGTGTCAAAAATGATCACGGTATCAGCAGCTTGAAGATTCACTCCAACACCTCCAGCTCGGATGCTAACATCATTTAAGTAAGTCAGTATGCTTAGATCCTTCTTGATAAAAGAAAATTTATTGATGATGGACAGCATAAAGGGGAGGAGGCTATTATTAGAGAAACAAATTCAAGAGACATGCGCGTGTTCACATGCACAAAAACAGACACATGCAGACCACTCAGGACAAGTTAAAAACCAGACCAAGTGGTGAGAAGACTGTTCTCAATATGTCATGTAATCCATTCTCCAAAGTGACATTCAGGTACCTATGTCTATCCCTAGGAATGGTAGACACTCTTCTTGAAGAACAGGGCATAGGTAATGCACACACTTTGCACAATACTCCTTTATAGATGTGGTGCAGTTGGGCCACCAAGCTCCATACAAGCTTCGTTGCTTGTCAACAGAACAGGCACCAGATGCCACTGCAAACTCAAGTTTACATCAAGGTCTTCATTATATGGCTAAATCAGCAGCTCACTCAAGCAGTTACACTCCCCTAAGCTAATAAGGGCAGTTTAACTCCCTATCAGACTGTCTAACAGGAAAATTCTCTGCCATCCATCCGGGTGGTCTACCGGGTGGTCATCCGGGTGGTCTACCGGGGGGTCATCCGGGTGGACAAAAAAGGCGCCTGTGCATCAGAGTTCTCTCTGCAGAGTGTAGAAAATTAATTTGAAAACGAAACCAAACATCATACTCCAACACACAGGTAGAAAACTAATTTCAAAGCACAACCAAACAGAGCCTACATTTTTATCAACTTCCCAAAAACACTAACCCTTGCAAATCTCATTTGGGAAGATTCAAAAAAGTCACTTACAAATTTATCAAATTATCCTCTGGAACATTATAATTAATTAATTTAAAAAATTGTTGAGATGCAAAAAGTAAGGATATTTTGGTCATTTTAGAGTGATGTGACACTTTTAAAAAATATTAAACCAAAAAATAGAAAAGTCAATTTTTTATCAACTTCCTAAATCACTTCCAAAAAAAGCAAAAAACTTGATAAAAAGCCAAAAATCAGCTTTTTACCAACTTCCGAAGACAAACATATAGTAAAATATCACAAATTAATCAAAGAATGAAAAATGTTCATAAAACATTTTATAATATTTTTTTTCATAAAATTTAACATTCTTTTTAATTTTTTTGTTTGAAAATGATAAAAAATAATAATTTATATTTTAATTACATTTACATCATCTTTTATTTCTTTTTTTTTTAATTCTTATTTAAATTTATAATCTGAACATAACCTAAAGGTTGAAACCTTTATCATTAGCACCACTTGAAGTGAAGCAGCCAGCAAGATTCTCAATGTCTCCTGTACTTTGATGATCTGCATTCTTTTCCAATTTCACAGGAACAACTCCATGAGAGAACAAAAAGTGAGGTGAGCTATGATTGTATAATGGATTATTCAAAGAAAAGTGAAACACAGTCATGACCACTGACCTCTTTGGAGCATAATTGGTATAATCTTTTTGTTCGAAGCACTGACCTCATTGTTAACTTATTTTCGATAACTTGCTATTTGGTTTATTGGACCAATTAATTCGGGAACTAATTCTATCTCTAATTTATGGGGTCTAATTAGAGTCAAAGTAAAATTTTATATGGACTAGTCTCAATAAATTATTTGTACCTAAGAAGTTTTGAACCCGAGACGTTGGTGGTAATACACCCCCAAACCTCAAGCTTGACCACTACACTAATCCCTTGAAATTAAATTGGAAAATAAATAGTTTGTAGATGAATATTATCCTACTTCTGTACCCCACTTGCCAATTTTCCTTCAAAAGTCACCTTTTATTATTATTATTATTATTATTATTATTAATGAGTGTCCTAATGCTACATTTGTATAGTAGGATTAATAATGAGAGAATTAACCATCTATGAAATTAGTGTAAGAAGTTATCCAATTGGATGAGTGAAATAAATAATCTCCACTTGACCACGTTTCTTTTGGAATGGATATGGAAATATATAAACTGAATTATATGTATGTTTTGTATTATTAGTTGTAGAAGTAAAAAGTTTGCCAATTTTATTAGATAGATGTCCTATTGAAATTTAATCTGAATAATAAAAATTGTAACAAAAAATTAAAATATGAGTCACTTAAATTAATAATTTCAATCCTGTCCTATCCATTCTAGGTGTGAAGTTTATGGGCCAGCATGTGAGAGCTGAAAATAACACTATTTTTTTGAATAAAATTTTAAGTCAAGATTCTAGGTAGGTAGTAACGAGTGATTTTTATATGTTGATAGAATATATTCATATAATACATTTTGTTACTATGATTGGTGAAAGGTATTGAAATAGGGGGTATATTGTTGGATGTTTTGGGAAATAATAGGGGACATATATTTGTGATTGGTGGAAGAGTAGTGCCAGTTGGTATCCTGTTGGTATACAAAACTTTTCCATAGCAAATGGTCCTTCTTCTATAATACACACCTCCAAAAAAAAAAAAAAAAACGTGTACTATAGGTAAATAATGAGATTTTATGGTGTTGATATAAAAAAGTGTTATAATTAAATCACTTTTAGTCATAATTAAAACTACCGCAAAAAGTCATATTAATGAAAAAAAACTTTTCTTCATAATCACAATAAGTCGTATCTAAGTCATAACTAATACAATAGTAGATCATGACCAAGTTATAACTAACACTACACAATAAGTCATAATAAAACACCACTCAAGGTATAACAAAAAATATCTTCAGTTATAACAAGAATAATAACACAATAGGTCATAACTAAATAATAATTAACACCACAATGTGTTAGTCTAGCAATGTAATTATCAGAATAATATAATATCAATGACAATATATATAGACAAAAAACAAGAATAGATAAATAATTATGAGAGTTTGATAGTTGCGTTGTCACTGTCCTAAAACTGTTTTTTCTCCTCTTATGAAGGTACAATTAAAATGAAACAATTCCAAAATAAAATTCATATTAATCACAGAGTTCCTTGTCCAGTGGTCACGACCACTAAGAGGTTCAGAGTTATTTAAAATACATAAAATATACTAAAACTATTTCTTCCATCGCATGGGTAAAAAACTCAATTTATGTACAAGTGCCCATTGATCCTGAGATCAACCCAAGTAAAGAAACAAAAAACATTCTACAGCCTCCTCTCTATATTTTTCTCATTTAGAAATCATAAGAATGTATATATATATATATAGATGTACCATTTAATAAAAATAACCAGATATAAATACAATATTAATTTTGATATAAAACTTGTAACGATTGTAATAAATTACATTTATCTTTGTAAAATTATTGGACATAAATATTGTAATTGTAATATTTAAATCATTTTAAATTTGTAACAATAAATAATTTATTTTTATGAAAATATCCTGACATAATGATTAATAACTAAGTCGTAACTGACATAGAGTTAATCGTAATTGGATGTTTTTGGGGTATTTAGGCACAAGCCAACAACAAGAATACATGAGATCCAACCGAACCCAAACAAAAACAAAACATCCATAAGTATGGAGAAAGACAGCAACTAACCCCAATAGATGCAGCGCTGCAACCAGTTGAAGGATGTTCCACTTTCGGATGAAGAAGACTTTGGAGCAAGTGCAACCAAAGGATGAAATTCAGTATGTGTTTCTTTCGGAATGAAGTGTGCCATCTGACGTTTGTGTTGAAGCAAAGCTAGAGCGATGTCTGTATGTATGTAGCATTAATAGAAATTAGTTACCAGTAGCAACAAGTAAAATATTTATTAATTATTAGCAATTTACTTATGGTGTGTTTGGTTGAGGGATTTGGGGAGGGATTTGGAAAGCGAAAGGAAAAAGGTGTGTGAAACTATGTGAAATATAGGCATGATTTATTCACATTTCACCTACCTTTTTCATTTCCCTTTTCAAATTCTTCTCCAAATCCCCCAACCAAACACAGCATTAGTTACCATAAAATTCATTAATTGTGAGTTGATGCAAAATTCTGAAACCAGATTCACCATCAAACGGGGTACGATTCCACCTGAACGCCTCTATCCCTAACCTTGTTATTATATCATCATTGCCTCTTGGTGTTTGATTTTCAGAACGTGGGGAATAGCCCTTGGCTTGGCAGACAACAATCGGGACAGAGAACTTGGGGAACTCATAGGGCTGGACTCATCTCTGGTGACACTCAATAAGTAAAGAACCATCTCTTCACACCCACGAGTAGCTGCAAAATACAAAGGAATTCGTGCCTGTAAGATCTTAGCATTTGGCAGATAGGGGTTCATTTCCACTAACTTTTCTGCTATCTCCCTGTTGTCAGCTCCTGCAGCTCTGTGAAGTGCTGTCCTATTTCTGGTGTCATATAGAGTTATATCCAGAGCTGACATCTTCTCCGATAGGTCTTTTACAAAATCGTTTCTCTTCTTCGACTTAACCGCAGCAATCAGCCCTGTTTCTTTGTATTCCGTTATGCCTGCCCTCACTGCCACTGATTTTTCTTCTATTAATGTGCTGGCTTCATCCCAGTCGCCCCAGTCTCCTTTGATTGCAGCTTTGTGCAATCGATTTGCAATGGCTGACATTAAATAAATAAAATAAAGTTATTTAAAAAGTATAAATATAACTATGTATATATCAGTGAGGAATTAGTTTTTTAAAAAAATTAAAAATTAATTTGCGGTTCAAACTCAAAAATAATTAATCAAGAAAGATTTTCAAATTTTAAATTAAAGCAATAAAAATATATCATTGGTTTTAAATTTTAATAATGCATTACAATCTTATGTAATCGAATACAAATCTCTAATTATGTAATGGGGAACTTACTGATAAGCCCCATGTACAAAGTTTAAGACCCAGCTAATCCTCAAACAAAACACTTGCACCAATTAGTCCTATACATTTTTAATTGTTACCAAAAAATCATTTTTTTTTTTTAAATTTACAGACACTGTTACATCTTACTATCGTCAGACTTCCGTCAAACGGTCGTCGGAGACTCGTCAGAATGTTCAACATCGTCGGAAAGTCGCTGGAGTATCACCGGGAAGTCGCCGGAGTTTCGCCGGAAGTTCACCGGAGTGTTAAGAACGTTAATGAAAGTCGCCGGAATGTTCAGAACGTTCACTGGACGTTAAGAATATCATTGGAGACTCACCGGAATGTCTAGAATATTACCGGAAAAAAAAAAGAATAAATGGAGAAATTAGAGCAAAAAAAACATAGCAAAATGTGCTAAATATTGATAAACTAAAAAGAAAAAAAAAATGAAACGACAAAAAACAGCAACAATGGGAAAAACATATGCTATTTTTCAATTTTTGTAAAGTTCAAGCAAATTAATCTCCAATATTGATCAGACTGAACAGTAAGTTTTGAAACTGTAAAATGTTACAATTTCAAAACAAAAATCTATTAAGCATTTATCCTTATTAATCAAACTGAAAAACATGTTATGAAACTGTAAAATTTTACA